GTTAGTGCTGGGGGATTGTTAGTGCTGGGGGATTGTTAGTGCTGGGGGATTGTTAGTACTGGGGGATTGTTAGTGCTGGGGGATTGTTAGTACTGGGGGATTGTTAGTACTGGGGGATTGTTAGTGCTTTGGGGGGATTGTTAGTACTGGGGGATTGTTAGTGCTGGGGGATTGTTAGTACTGGGTGATTGTTAGGGCTGTGCTCACACAGGAGGCTTGCACTGGGCATCCCCAAAGCATCAACTCTAGTTTTTAACCAGAAGGAGCTGGTTAACCTACTTAGTACAGCATGGTGCTCCAAAGGTTTGGAAACAGCAGAGACATGCATGTAACTTATGCCTAGACTGAACTCTGTCCACTCTACTGGAAATCAGAGCATTGGGATGGCCTGTACTCTTCAGCAGAGTGCTTACTATCGTATGGCCAAGGCTGCGTTTGATTCCCAGGATTGTAACATTCACACACATCCAACCCAAAACGCCATGCATCCTGTGTAACTTCTCCGAGAGGTACACTGTTACTTCAATTCTAGCTGGGCAATAAGAGCCCTGATTTGCAAAACAGAAAACTGCCTTACGAGAACGTTTACTAGGTCTGCAGCACATCATGTTCTGCACAGATCCACACAAAACTGATGATTCTTGCCGTTAGGTCTCTGCCTGCTCACACTTTTCCTTGTCGTGGGGCCTTTTCTGAGTAAGATGGATGCAGGCACTCTATTCTAATTTCCTTCAGTCCTTACCTTGTGATTTCTGAGGATGGAGGTGGGGTCTGCTGGTCCAGCGCTACATGGTGGGGCTCTCCGACACCGCCTGGCTTACCGTGCAGGGGCTCTGATGAGCACCTCATTAGCCTCTGTAAGCTCGAGTCCCTGGGCCTTTCCACTTGGGCCACACCGAGGGCACCACCCCCCATCTGCACAGCTGCTTTGAAGAGGCTTGTGCCACCTCTTTTGCAGATGAGAAAAATAATATTTAAAAAGATAAAACGGATTGCCTGTGGTCATATGGCTTTCAGTGGTAGAGTGCCCCCCCTTTAACTTCTTCCTCCTTCAGCTCTAGTGCGTGTTTTTACCTCATGACTGCAGTCTTGGTGCCCAGAATAGGAGGAACAGACAACAGAGGAAGGGTTATTTTCTGAGCCGTGGGGAGGGTCATCCTTTAAAAGTTCACACGGCCAGCTGGCTTTCTTGTCTCCTTTCATTCTGTCTTGTCTCCCTCCCCTCCTTCTCTTTCCTCTCCTTCCTTCTTTCTCTTCCTTTTCTTCTCCTTTCCTGTCCATTATTGCTCAGAGCTGTGGTTTAGAGATAAAAACAAATACATTAAGCTATCTCTCCCATCCAACACTATATACATATATACATGCATCATATGTGTGTGTGCGTTGTGTGTGTGTGTGTGTGTGTGTGTGTGTGTGTGTGTGTGCAACGTTCATTTTAATGATAACATTCAGGAGATCTGCATACCACATTCTAAGTGCCAAACCATCTTGCGCCGCATTGGTGGCTGTGGCATAGTTTGAAAAATTAAAAGCATTAAACTGATACCGTTGGTTAACTTAAAATACCTCTCGTCATTTATAAAACATGATCCCCCTCTGCCTTTTTCCTATTTTTAGCTCAATAATAAAAGTATCCAGCAGGGCAAAAGAATCCTGCTTATCTTGATTTTCCTGTCTCATATTTCAGAAGCTAGGTTGTTGGTTCCCTCACTTCTAGAAAGCTGTTTCTTCTCAAGGAAACGTGGGAAAGAAGTATGTTGAGAAGCCCCATGGACGATACACATCTGTGTACAGTGGTTGACAGTGCATTCCTCCTGGCTGACATAACTAGCTTGGTGGATTATGGCAATGCCTGTTCGTTGACCCTGAGTTTAGCAATACCCAGACATAATCTATGCTTTGAGTGCTTGAATGCGCTTAGCTAGAGAGGTGACCTTGGGGGTTATTTTGGAATGACCGATTTTTTAAAAGTGGTCGTTTCCACCACTTAGAGGTGTCAAGTGAGCAGATCATAACAAGCCCAGAAAGTCCTGGCCCCTTTTCCTTTCTGACTGTGCTCAGTCAAGGTCAGAGAAAATACATATTCCAATAACAATCTAAATAATGACAGATTTTTGCTTGTTCTCCACATTAACAAAATACTGAATACTGAACTTGCATATCAAAGTCTACCCCTCTAAGATATTCTCCTCCAAGCAAGCCAATCTCCATGACCATCTCTCTGACCGTGGATAAGAAAATACAAGCAGCTCTAGGTTATGTTGGGTATGATGCTTTGAAGAGGAGGGCAAGGTGGTTCAGTGGGTAAAGACGATTGCCAAAAAGACTGGTAACCTTAGTTCAATGTCTGGGACCCAAAAAACTAGACCTGAGGAGAGCTGCAAGTTGCTCTCTGATTTCTGCATGGCACACGTGTGCATAGACACAATCAATTAATCAAAAAAATTAATCAAAATGCTATGATTAATTAAAACAAGAAGTGATGCATTAGACCTGGGGATGTAGATGGTAGAGTGCTTACACAAAGCCTGGGTTCAATCACCAGCATCTTTTAAAAGTCAAGCATGGAGTCACATGCCTATAATCTCGGTGTCTGGAGGCAAAGGTAGAAAACTCAGAAATTCAAAGTCATCCTTGGCTAACTAATGAGTTCAATGCCAACCTGGGATACATGACATCCTGTCTCAAAAACAAAATAATATATTAAACATCAAGATAATGTCTTGGGTGAGCATAAAAGGAGTAATACAGAATGGGAAAAGAAAGAGGCATAGAAAAGGTGACCCACACCTGGTAGCACCACACAAAACATGCAAATATCCCCCTGACAAATCCCGAGCAAGGTTGTCTCTGATGGGGGAGTGAGGGAGAACACGGACGAAAGACACTCAGTCTACCAGTCCCTGAAACAGAAACCCACGACAGTGATGAGCCGTGGATGGCAGCGTTGACTAGCTCCAGTCACTATCTGAGGTCCACTAAGAAAAAGAAGCAAACAAGCAAAACCACTAACCGACTGCTGTCCCCCATGTTGACGAAAGGCACCAGGGCCACAGCTCCTGCCTCTGGAGCTGGGCTGTGGATGCCATGCACATGTGCATTCATCCAATGGATGCTCCACAGCCCAGGTTCCCTGCTTAGAATTCTCTTTTGTCTCCGTCAGTGCAAACACTGCCACTTTAAAACAGGTGTACACTCACACTCCAAATGGGACAGGATGCTGTGCCCCAGGCTGTGCAAGTGTGCAGTACTTGAAGGGGTTAATACTGAGAGTAGAGGGACTTCCCCAAAGCAAACATTTCCCGGACATCTCCGGCAACAACCTGAAGGTCAGTCTTGGCTTCACACTCAATTCACTATAGTCCTCACTGGGACATTGCAATACTCCATACTACTTATTTCTTAAGCCATCCAACTCTGCTAACCGCTAATCACTCTCTCTCCCCAAACTCTGGTTCAGCCAAACCAGCAAAGTGTTTACCACGGTGCTGGGACCCTTCCAGTAGCCCTGACATGGCCCCTTTCATCACAGTCAGGATGTGCAGGTCCCTGCAAATGCTATGGCCGGCAGAGGAATGATCCTTGAGAGGCAAGATGGAAATCCGGTTCAGCATGACTTAGGTAGTTGGTACTGGTTCAAACTTCTCGAGTCTGACCCCAGGCAGTTTATTTTTGACATATTTAAGTACAACTTTGGAAGACAGTCCCTTGGACAATTATCACAGCAAAGCTTAAGAAACGACTACATCGAAACTCCCGTGCAAAGAACATGTCTTTTGCAAAACACCTGTGACCTCTTCCATAAGGATGGGTTCTGTTGACTGAGAAACAAGCTGAGAAGTCTGGGGGATTCCAGTGAAGCCTGGCTCTACAGAGTAGCAAAGGTTGCCAGGTTATCAGAGACGTCCCCTCCCAGGGTGGAAACAGGTGTAGCTATCCCTTCCTTTGAAGAGACAGGCATGCGTGCTTATCATTCCTGGTTTTGCTAGTGCTTCTCCATGAGCATGAGAGCCTTGTGCCCTCTATACCATGAGGGGTGAAGAGAGATGTCACCTGATAGGTAGGTTTTGTCCAGCCTCTAGGCGGCTGGGCACCATTGGACTGGCTGAACCCTGCTTCTCCACTGTGAAGTGCAGGGATTTGGTGGAGTTAGATGGGATAAAGAGATGGGCTGGGAAGCTGTTGGCAAAGTTTTATGGTAAGCCGGTCAATAAGGTTTTGTAAGACTTGCTCAGACAGGGAAAATATTGTAATTTACAGCCCATGTCACTATTCTGCCTTTCCATAGGCCTTTTGTGATTTATCTGGTCACATAACCAGATCTAGAAGCTTCCTCAAATAAATGCTCGGTTCATTTTTAAACAGAAACATAAATGAAAATTTATGTCTTTTTTTTTTTTTTAATTATCCAGTGAGCAAACCATCAGTGAAAGCTACTCATTATACGTAGAGTATTATGCTCTCGATGTGTGTACCTGCCTGGACAATCAGTCTTCATGATCAGCTTGACTGGATTTAGAATGACCTAGGAGACTAGTGGCAACCTCCCCCAAACTCCGGCCAAAGTGATATTTTCAGAGCAAAGTAACGGGCGGTGACGACTCACCCTGAATTCGGGTGTCTCCATCCCATGGTCCTGAACAGGATGAAAGGGGAAAAAAAGAGGAAAACCAGCTGGGTGAAGGCCTTGCCCCATCTCTGTTTTTCATTTGCCAAGAAGGGAAGACCAACCTCTGCCACACATGGCTGCCTCCGCAGTTTGAGCCAATGCTTGGGGCCAAGCAACCACAGACCAAACCCTCTAAAACCGTAAGACACACTGAATCGCCGTCCCTTTAAGATGTCCTGCCAGGCAGTTGGCTACAGCAGCGTGAGAGTAACTTGTTAGAGAAGCAGCACCCATAAGTGTACTTAAGGGATCAAGACACACGCTAGGCACCACGTTAACGAATTTATGATCAATGGGGCACTGAGAGACATTCTTAAATCCCAGATCAGAGACTGGAGAGCTGGGCATGGATTTAAAATACCACCTTGCCTAACTCCTTTAAGATAAATTCTAAACACCAACCACCGTGGCCACGATCATGCCCTAAGCTTCCAATGCGACCTTTCTCCTGCTCTGTCTTCCTGGACCCCGCCATACAGATCTCCCCCCATGTCTAAAACATTCTTCCAACTCCTAGGGTTCCAAATAGCTGCTCATTTTGTGTCTTCAGGCTAGACTCACTCCTTTCTTCTCTGTCCATCATCTTCCGGGACAAAACCACTCCTCATCTCCTCATCCCTTCCACCTGTGTGCTTTCAAAATGTGGCGCAGTATGTGAGGCCCTGAGACAGGAGCATGCCTCATAATTATTGGTTAAATGTACAAAGTGATATTAGCACACTCTGTTGTTGTTTGACTTGGGGTAAAATGGAGCTCAGATGAGCCTTGAGCTGCCAATGCCCACGGTGAGCCGGAAGTTCTGACCCTGCAGCTTCCACCTCAGTATCCGAGATGAAAGCCCTGTAGTTGCTGCCACCACCCCAGTTAGGGGGTGCTGAGGGTCAAACCCAGGGCTTCTGGTGTGCTAGGCTGGCCCTCTCCCTACTGAGCTACATCCCAGCTCTGTTCTGTCAGCAGTTTGCTTCTGTGAGAGAAAATCTCCCCTCTTTGATAAAAGTAGGACAAAAACACCCACCTTGTCAATAACGTGTTAACATCACGATTCCACCCATAACACTCGTCACCTTTTTGTGTTAGCCTGTATTACGTAGTGCACCATGTGTGTGCCTGGTGCCCCCAGAGGACAGAAGACGGCATTGGATCCCCTGGTGCTGGAGTTACCATGGAGCTATGAGCTGCCATATGGTTGCTAGGAACTTGGGTCCCTTGCAAAAGCACCAAGTGCCCTTAACACTGAGCTGCCTCTCCAGCCCCACTTATGAATCTTAAAAGCTTGTGTTTGGCAAGGCTTTGGTCTCAGTGGGTGCTTTTCTTTAGCAATCCTATAAAAACCGGAAGCTTCAGAATAAAACTGAAAGTGAGGTCATCTGCAGTGTCCTCGGTACCTCCATCATGGAAGGCAGGAACCACAGAGTTACAGGCTTCTTTAAAGGGGCAGCAGTGAGGGTGGGGAATCTAGAACACCAGCAGGCTGGTCATTTTGCTTGGCAGTCTGCATGGTTTGAGACCCAAGAGTTTCTTCAGGTTCTGTGCTGTAACATACGTGACTGTTAATTTTAAAAGGAAATAAAGTGCTGCTTCTTTGAAAACAAGAGAAGAACAAAAGTATTTTCATTTCGGTTCATAGTCTTCCTTTCTTTTTTCCCTCTATTTCTTTTTACTTTTTTTTTTTTATTTTTGAGACAGGGTAGCTCACTTTGTAGCTCTGGCTATCCTGGAACTCACAAAGATGTACCTGCCTCTGCCTCCTGAGAGGAGATCGAAGGCGTGCGCCACCACAACCTGCCCTCAAACTATTTTTTCACGCTCTAAAAGTATCAAGTGTAATAAAAAAATTTCCTATCCTTTGATTTTCCGTCATGAGCCAATCTTTAGTGTGCTGAGTCCAAAGAACCGAAAATACACGTTCAGCTCAGAGTTGTTCAGCCCCCTGACTGTGAGCACATGTCTGCTAGCACAGACATGGTGGTTGGTAGAAGGAATTTTATTTAGGTATGGCCTCTGATTCAGAGTTTACAGTCCCATTGGTATGCTGTTTGGTGTTAAATGTGAAATGTCCCTGATGGACTCTTGGATGTGAGTACTTATCCCTAGCTCTTGGTGCTGTTTTAGATGATTGTGGAATCTTTGGGATGTAGGGTCTTGCTAGCAGAAGTGGATTGATAGTAATGCCAGCTTCCATTTCCAGCCAAGCCCTCTCTGAACCCTGTCCGCCGAGATGTGAGCAAGCCAGTCCACAAGCTCTGGCTACCACAGACCAAGCCACTCCCACGGCCGTGCTTTCCCTCGATGATAGGCTGCATCCTCTTCAGTGGTTCTCAACCTTGCTAACACTGTGACCCTTGAATACAGCTCCTCATGCTGTGGTGACCCCCAACCACAAAAGCACTTCATTGCTACTTCATAACTGTAATTTGGCTACTGTTATGAATCGTAATGTGAACATCTGATATGCAGGATATCTGAAGTGTAAGTCCTGTGAAAGGGTCGTTCGATCCCCAAAATAGTCAAGACCCACAGGTTGAGAACTCTTGCAAGCCGTGAGCCAAAGCAAAGCCCTTCTCCTTGAAGTTGCTTTTGTCTGGTACCTGTCACATGACAAGAAGAGCAATGAGCACACAAGCCCAAACAAGGTTCCAATGTGGCAGCCTCGGTCAATACTCAGCATCACACAATTTAGAATCAAATGAGTGTGGGGAAGGGGGTGATAAATCAGTCAATAAAGTCCATGCAATACAGGCATGAGGACCTGAGTTTGGTCGGCAGAACTCACATACAAGAGTCAGGCATTGTGACACTCTCCTGTAACCACACTGCTGGGGACACAGAGACAGGAAGGCTCCTGGGGTCAGTTGGTCAGCCAGCCTGGTGGACTTGGTGAGTTCCAGGCCAATGAGAGACTCTGTCTTAGGAAACAGATGGACAGCATCTTGGGGAATGACACTCAAGGCTGACCTCTGGCCTCCACACAAAAACACACAAGTGTGATTAAACATCTGTACACATGCCCCCTCACACATGAGCACACACACCATTCAAATGAGAACTACCCTACCACCTGAAACAACAAAACCCCAAACAGATGCTGGCTTTGTTATTGTTATTGCATTACCTGTTGGGGTGTGTGTGTATGTGTGTGTGTGTGTGTGTGTGTATGTGTGTATGTGTGTGTGTGTGTATGTGTGTATGTGTGTGTGTATGTGTGTGTGTGTATGTATGTGTGTGTGTATGTGTGTGTATGTGTGTATGTGTATGTGTGT